CTGGTTGGTTTTCCTCAACCTCCGCCAGTAGGGCAAATCTGTTACTATTGGATCTGCCTGGTTCTTCGCCGATCTTCTGGACGCTCTTCTGGTTATTTGTTTTATTGCCTGCCGGATAACTCTGCAGGCTAAGCTTGCGTTAATTTGGATTTAGCGATCCATTCCCGTCTGTGTGGCCGGGGCCGCTTTGGCACTTTCGGAAGTTTTTGTTTTTGTACTCGCTGTAGTCGTTGACATCGAGGTGCTTTGAATTGCAGTGGTTGAACTTTGGTTGCAGAAATTGTAGCACTGCTTGTTGTTGCTGCGAAATGTGTTTCCGCCATTGTACACTGCGAACTTTATAACGCGGAGTCGGAGTGAGCAGAACGGGTGAGCAAGACCGTGCCCTATGGCTTTCAGCGGTCGGTAGAGCCAAGTTGCTCTTAATCGCCGATTTTTCCAATTCGGTAACGCGGGTTAAAAAGTAAGATTAGAAGCCGTTTCTTTGGTTCTACGCTGGTTCTTTCGATCGTTGCTCAATGAGCTCATTTCGTGGCTCTTATATATTAAAAAAAAACTATGTTTTTGTTTTAACAAATCACAACTTTTATATAAAGCTTTTCTATTGCAGAGTCTTTTAGGGCCGTCCATAAACCTCGTGACGCCACCTCCAATTCCAACCCCCGCCACCTTTCTCCAAGTCCCCAGACCACTATCCCCATTAGCCCTTTCGCAACATTCACTCGCCTGTGCTTTGCAAATGCAACAGCTGTGTTTTTCAGCTAATTTCTTTGTTGTGGCGCCCTCTATCATAATCACCACTGAAGATTGGTGAATTTGGAATGCGTTACACTGAAAGTTATTTTAATTATCCGACTTTCAGAAAATGGGGTTTTGTCACAAAAACTGGTCGAATTCCCCATAATGCGATTGCTTTTAAGTTTTTGTTGTTCTGAAAGAGGCTTGAGCATGCCTACTCTAACGATGGAATGATTTTTAGGGGAGGGTGAAGACACGAAAACAGCTGATGGAATTGTTTACCTTTTTTGTTTACAATTTTTCAGGCACTTGTTATTAATTTGGGTTATTGTGAGATTTAATTAAATTATTGTCGTTAATTTAATAATTTCCTTATATATTTTGGAACTTTAAAAAAGTCGCCGCTCGAATTTGTTACAGATATATATACATATATTTATATATTTACATTGGTTTTCTGATACCTCTTGCAGAACAACAAAAACTTAAAAGCAATCGGCGTTTTAAGTGACTCCGACTGAAATATACTCTGACACTTTCTCAGTATATTGATTTTTAATGATTCGTAAAAATATATATACAGAAAACATTTTACTACTAACACTTAATCTTATTCTTAAATAAATTAAAAACGTATGCTGAAATATTAAAAAAAAATAATATAATTTCTTTTGTCATTTCATCAAATACGAATACCCGAATTTTGTTAGGGTAGCAAGCCTGAAAAGTAACAAAAATCCAAATTTTGTGCGCTGGCTTCGAAACGAAATCGCACGCACACATACACCCGTGTATGTGAATGTGTGACACGCATACATACAAAGATCAACCGAAGCGCAGGCCAACCTTCTTCATCGCGCTCCGTTTAGAGACTGAGAAACAGAAAACATTTAATGCGAGAATGAGCGTAAGATGAACGAACGATGAGCGTAAGAAATCCGCTCTGGGGCCTGCTGGGGCCTGTCGCAAGAAATTTTCGCGTCCATTTTCGTTGTATGAAATGGGTTGTCTATATGCTGTATGGTTAGTGGTTGAATGCAGTAAGAACATAACGCCATTTCATTGACTTATGTATGCAATGGACAGCCTCTATGTATGCAATTAACTGCCGGAATGCACCGATATAACGATACCTGGGTCAGATTAGACTTATGGATCTCTAGCATTGGCCAAACGAAGATTATCATATAGCTGATCATATTCGCGACATACACTCGGTCAAGCCTTTTGATACAGTCGTTGGATATAACCCACCTAAAAGCACAGCACAGACACTTTCGACATCTACCACTGTCCGGGTACGACTCAGCACAGCCCAGGCTTCTGATAAGTGTCAACAATTGCAGGCTAACGCATGCAAGAAAGGCACTACAGAAGAGCCGATCTCTAAGTAGACCCGTCTGGGGTAAACGACCAAAGGTATAAAAGTATAAAGGATGCGGCTACAGAGGCTAAGGGGATCACGCTGAAAACAATGCTGGTACCAATACTTCACAGGTAAGTCAGAAACGTATTGCAATCGTTGACAATATCGCTGCGATGAACAGAAGAATAGAGATACCAACGATTTATTTTTATAGACCCACACAAGACCAATGAAAGACCACGCTTCTCTAACAATAAAAAAACATAAGCGCTGTCGAACGTGAAGTCAATAGCATCAAGTTCGACAACGGGAATTCAAAATAGCCCTTGAAAATATTTAGGAACATCCTGTGTATCCTAATATGAGTATCCTAGTATGACTTCAATCTTATTTTTTTTGCGGCTGGGGGTCTTCCCCAAAAAGCACATTCAAAAAATTATTCATGCATATTGATTTGATTATGTTTTTCATACTATTAGGTTTGACCATTTATTGGGTCCAAATCATCATTGATCGTCACTATTTCTGAAAAATTATTCTGAAAAATACTTTCGTATTTTTTAAGAGCACATTAAACTTTTTTGGACGTTTTAAAGAGATAAAGAACTGAAGGACACCAGTTTTTTGGCCAAAAAGTAGTTTACCGATAACAGAATCAATATTATGGAAATTAGTCCTAGAAATAAAACCACACTTTAACATTTAAGTTTTCAAAAATTTTTTAAGGGTCCTGAGCCTTAATTGCTGGCGAGAGATACCAAAATTTGGAAAAAAAATTTCAATATTACTTTATAATGATCAAATTTATTTAGGCTGTGTTATATATGTTTTGATTTCATATTTTTCCATAGCCCAAATGGGCACTACCATTACTTTGACCGAAACTGTATATAAATAAGACAGAAGATAGAAGCTTGGGATTTTTTTTTAGATTTTTTGTGTTGTTATAAATTGGTTTTATTATGATATTCTTATAAGGATCGGCCAACTATATCCGATGTTTACTATATATCTGGTTTTAACTGCAAGGGTATATAGACTTCGGTACCGCCCGATGTTAACTTTTCTTTCTTACTATGTATTTTTATACCCTTGTAGAGGGTATTATAATTTTGTCCAAAAGTGTGCAACGCAGTGAAGGAGACATCTCCGACCCTATAAAGTATATATATTCTTGATCAGGATCACCTCCTGAGTTGATATGAGCATGTCCGTCTGTCCGTCTGTCCGTCTGTCTGTTTCTACGCAAACTAGTCTCTCAGTTTTAAAGCTATCGTCTTGAAACCTTGCACACACCCTTCTTTCCTTTGCACGCAGTATATAAGTCGGAACGGCCGGGATCGCCCGACTATATCCTATAGCTGCCATATAACTGATTGATCGGAAATGGTATAACTTTGGTGTTTTTAGAGTTGGAGAGTTCAAATTTGACATGAGGGCAAAATAATACGACATGCCAAATTTCATAAGGATCGGCCGACTATATCCTATAGCTGCCATATAACTCAACGATCGGAAATGACCCAACTTTCGTGTTTTTGAAGATAGAAAGCTGGAATTAAATACAGACTCTATTTTTGGTTAGTTGATCCAACCTACCAAATTTCATTAGGATCGGCCGACTATATCCTATAGCTGCCATATAACTGAACGATCGGAAATGACCCAACTTTTGTGTTTTTGAAGATAGAAAGCTGGAACTTGGTACAGATTATATTTTGATCCATCCTACCAAATTTCATAAGGATCGGCCAACTATATCCGATGTTTGCGATATATATCCGGTTTTAGCTGCAAGGGTATATAAACTTCGGCTCCGCCCGAAGTTAGCTTTCCTTTCTTGTTTGGTATTAAACATATATTTAATTCCACAAAACTATTACAAAGCACTTAATATTTTTTTCCGACCTGTCGTTTTGATTCTGTTTCTATGTACCTCAGCTAGAAGCTTTTCATTCGAAATTTTGGACTTTAAAATTATGATTAAGATGAACGCTCCGGTTGTAAATCACAATTTAATTATCAAGTCTTGTTGGGATATTCAATTAAATTTAGCGTAAAAATTCTGGGCAACATATAGGACGCAATCCAAATCTGTTTTTTGTGTTTACTTTAAAATTTAATTGTTTATAGGAGCTAACCGGAAAAAAATTTTTGTTTAATGGAGTTAAGCTGGGCTCTTGAAGTAAACGGAAAAATGAAAAACAAAAGAAAATTTCGCAAATGCACTCATGCTTAAAAATTTATTTTTAAAACTTTTTTATATTTTCAACGGTAATTTTTCACGCATATAGAGAGTTAAAAAAATAAAATCGTATGCATGTGCGTTCCCCACCTCACCAACTAGCTCAAAGAAGAAATCTGACCGTTTTGGGCGCTGATGTATCAATTTTTATACTCTTGCAGAGGGTATTACAATTTTGGTCAAAAGTGTGCAACGCAGTGAAGGAGACATCTCCGACCCTATAAAGTATATATATTCTTGATCAGGATCACCTCCTGAGTTGAAATGAGCATGTCAGTCTGTCCGTCGGTCCGTCTGTCTGTCTATTTCTACGCGAAGAAGTCTTTCAGTTTTAAATCTATCGACTTGATAGCTTCTTTCCTTATAAGTCAGAACGGCCGGGACCGGCCGACTTTATCCTATAGCTGCCATATAACTGAACGATCGGAAATGACCCAACTTTTGTGTTTTCAAAAGATAGAAACCTGGATCTTAGTACGGATTATATTTTTGGTCAGTTAATCCGACCTACCAAATTTCATAAGGATCGGTCGACTATATCCTATAGCTGCCATATAACTGAACGATTAGGTTTCCTTTCTTGTTTGTATAATCTTTAATGCAATTTATGTTTTTATAGCAGAACGTTTATATAAAAAACCATATACTTACATGTAGATTAGTTAGTATATTTTTCACTCCTTCAACCAAGTTCGTTAAAAATTTCGTCCTTTCGGAATTGCTAAAAAGAGACCGACGAACAGAAGTCATTTGAACCAAACATGAAATGGAATAACTAGATAAACCATTTGGTAAAATATGGTATAAATCAAAAAATAACTTAAGCGTATTTGGATCAAGGAATGCAGGACGCCAAGCCGTTGGAATCTACAAAATGAAAAAAAAAGGTTTTAGAAATGTAAGTATGAAAATTCAAAATAATTGTATATCCTTGCAGTAATATTAAGTTCATCCTGTGCTATTGCAACTTCAAAGTGACACCTGAACGTGTCAAGCTACTTTTTAACAATTTTTTTTATTTATTTATTTATTTCGCCAACGGACAAATCCTTACATGGCTACATAATAACAACTTACAACTTATAAATAATACTAACAAAAACTTAATAAATGCCTGATTAACTTGCGTTTTAACACATCCTTATCAGAGCCCAACTCAATTTGGATGCTAGGCGGCAAAGAATTAAAATAAGAAAGAGCCCGCTCAATCGGCTCATTTAAAAGATAATTGGCCCTATGACACTTGATCCGAAAGGGGGCAAAGGTACTGTTGTTTTGTGTCACGTGGAGTTGCCTTAAACGGCTCCCCACACGCGTAGGTCCGAAGAAAGGGGTACTTCAAAGGCCTTGGCTGTGGCTAACGGAACGTTTTATTCTATAAATTCATACATTAGTTTACAATTCAAATATTAATTCTTCTTCTTACCGCAGTGTGCCCTCCTACAATCAACAAAACAATGAGCGGCACTTTTCGGCGGCATTCACACTACCGCTATTAGTAGGCCCGTAATTCCGATAACTTCAAATACTACATTTCCTAATAATACTGACTTAACTATCGATAACAATGTTTTGACCGTCGACATCCCCGACCCCGTGAAGACCCGCTTCACTCAAATCCAAAACTCCAAGTTTAGAGGCCCGTCTCTAGAGGCAACATTGTCCAAGATAGTCCATTACCTCCTCCATCCATCTCCATCAACTCCGCTGTAGACCTCCTCCCACGATGCCCTTGCGCCACTCCCGTCTGGGCAAGGCAGTATCGCGGACAAAGACCATATCTTCCTGGCGGATGGGCTCCGTTCTCTGGCACCACTTCTCGCGGCGCACAAGCGTAGGCAGGTACTCCATGGTGGGACTCCACATGGTCCCTCGGCGCGACTTCTTCCAGGGTATGGCGCAGCACTCGCTTGACGCAATGCACCATCTGCTCCCATACTCCGCCTCTGTATCCTCTCCATCTCGAACGCGTCTCCAAATCGTCTGGCTTCCTTGTCGGCTCCCACGAAGTTCTTGCCCACCTCGTACACATCCGGGTCTCGATCGTCGTTACCATCTCTCCAAAGGAATCGTTGGGAACGTCGATCTCCAACCTTGGCTGCAGCATGAAACACAAGCCAACAAAATTTAACTGCCAAACACAAAAAATAGATAAATCACCCGGTGGCCACGGAAATAGACTTGTACGTCCATGCAAATTTTTTGCGCAGTGGCAAGTGCATAATTTTTATTATTATTATTTCTCTGGCGCTACTAAAAGTGCCAATCTAGAGTAGATCAAAAAGCGCAATGCCTACGGAGCACAGAGCGCCGGCCCACTTGGCTTGGAAAAAATTCAATTCAATTCATTAACCGGGCACTGGCAGCGATTATATCGCCAAGCATATACTATATCTATATTATTTGCACACCCGTATGTATATCTATGCATATATATTTTTTATTTCTTTTTTAATGGAGCTAACCAACTTCGGCTTCGGCAGCCTAATCCCCTCAGAATTTATTGGCATTTCGTGCATGAAACACAAGCCGGACCTCACCGGGCTTGTTCGGGGTTTCGACACCGAATTGTGGCAAATTCCATAGCTTGTCGCTCTTTACCGCGACCTCATCCGGCTGCAATATCCTCGCAAATCCTTTGGACACGTCCTTGATGATCCGATCGTATCCTAGCGCCAACAGCCCGTTGCGCTTCAACTTCTCGACGTTGATCAGCCGTCTGTGTGCCATCTCGTAGCTCTGTGGCAGCACAGCGTGGTCATCCTTCCAGAGCAATCCCGTCTGGTCGCGACGCCCCACTTTCACCGTGGTGTCGTCGAGGATCCTTTGGGCCCGCGCGTCGTCGCTGGCTGCGACCGGTTGCGCGAGCTTCACACCAAAGCCTTCCATCTCGACGTAGTCCTCCACCATCTTTTCCATCGTGTCCTCCACTGACACGGCTAGAAGGCAGGACCTCGGTGACGGCGTAGTCGATTGTCCACTTACTGGCCCAAACACAACCCATCCAAGCTCGGTTGCGGCCGCGAACGGTCCCTCTCTGGCAAACCGCCTCGTCCTAAGTGGCAATCCCAAATGTCCATGGTCCAGTCCGATGAGCAACTTCGGCACCACGTGGCTGTAGGGCTTCATCGGCAGTCGCGAATCCTTATGAACGCCCTGGACATCTCGTCGACATAACGTCTGCATCGGCAGACTCAGGCTCGAAACGGCGTACACGTTCCTCAACGGGTGACGAGTGGGCTTCCCAGCTCCACTGATCTCCAGGCTCACCACGTTGGTAGGCTCCCTGCTGGCTCTTCCTCCAAACCATTGGATGTTCAGCTGTCGGCGTTACTGGCAGTATACGGAACAAAAGTCTGCCTCCTTCGACGTCAATACTCAAGTTCCTCTACATGGGCGCCTCCGCTGGCTGCGGGGCCCTTCTCTCCTGGCTGTTCCTGCGGACAGCCGACTCCTGGGTCCTCTCGTGGTCCCTGTAACCACCTCGTGGCGAAGACCTCCTGTCCGGGCTGCGTCTGGAAACAGCTGACGTCTGGTTTCCTCCGTTGTGGCGCCTGAAGCCACCTCGCTGCTCCGGCCTTCTTCGCTCTTCGTCCTCTTCATGTAGCAGACGGTGATGCAATCTGCGGCATCCGTTGATCTGGCACTCGCCATGCACATCGCAGGATCTGGCCGCATGCCCACTCCGTAAGCATGTGAAGCAGAGCCGATGCCTCTTCACCATGCTCCATCTGCCGGGTGGCGAAGCTCCAATTAATTCGCTACAACTCGTCGTAGCATGTTGACCTCCACAAATTGGACAACCTCCATGCCGGTCATCCCGCTGCTCGTATCCGTTCTGGTCGACGCTCGCGTGTAGAACTCGACGCCTCGGCTCCTTTCCATCGATGTCCAGAATCGTACACACGATGTTTGCGTACTCCTGTAGCCACGCGCTGAAGTGCGCTACAGTGGGAAAGGGCTGGATCGATGCAGCGTGCCTGGCCCAATCCACCCGTTTGCTGGTGGGAAGCTTTGCCACAAGCTCCTCCATGAGTGTGGGGTTTCCCAGATGTTGCTCCGCCTTCGCCGACTGCAAGAAGGCCGTGAGGTTACTCACTCTGGTTGCGAAGGGGACGATCCTCGCCAGTTGCTGCTCCGAAATCGGCTGCACCTCTCGCACGCTGTTCAGCTGGCTGCGTATAAGCTGCTCCGGTCGGCCAAACCTAAACCGCAGCTGCTCCATCACGGCTCTGACGTTTGCGGGGTGAATCAGAAGCGACTTCACTGTCTCGCGTGCTTCATCCTTCAGCGCCTTCAAAAGCCTCTGGTTGTTCTCCAGATCCGTGCAGTTGTACGCTTGGGTCGTCTCTACAAATGCACAATTAAAGATGGGCCAATCCTCGGGCTGCCCTCCAAATATAGGCAAGTCCGGGAGCCTCCTTGGTCCATTAGCTTGGGTTCCATTCGGCGTCATCCAGGCGTAGGATCCAACAAATGGTGATGCAGTTGCTACGTTGTGAATGCTCCCGCCCGGTAGCGCGAATCCATGCGCTGTCTGCGCAGCACTTGTAGCACACAGTGGGTTGCTAGTCGTTAGCAACGGTGGTCCACTCCAAGATGGCGGCAGCGTGTAGGTCCCACTGGTCGCACCGAAACTGCTATATGGGTCCGGCCCGACCCCGTTAGTTGGTGCCTCACCGTTCGATGTGGCGGTTAATGGCGGTCCGCTCCACGATGGCGGCCGCTCCGACGCTCCACTGTTGGCGCCATTTGCGCTTGGGCCAACTGCGATTGGCGCGCAATTGGCGGTGCTTGTTGCGTCCAAGGCTTTGACCTTCTTCAGCTCGTTCTCCAACGCCGTAATCCTCTCCAATAGGTACGCCGTGAGTGGCTGGCCCACCTCCGGCTCTGAGCTGTGACCAGCTGTGACAGCAGTACTCCTTGGTTGGGACGCTACTGTAGTCGCCGTAGTGGCTGGGCGAGAAATGGCCGCCGCCGTGGTTATGTTAACCCGCGGCCGGTTTTCTGCTGCACTACTCACTGGCTGCTGATCCGCTCGCGTTGTAGGTGTGGCTTCCCCTCCGTTCAGCCGGGAACTCCTCCTGGGGGAATGCTGCATCTCGAGATATCCAAATCCAAATATAATATGGTCCAAATATGGCGCTGCTCCGCGCTCCAAAATGGCGGACCTGTGCCGTCTGGCCGCTGCCGCTGATGCTTTGCGCTCCTTGCGCCTCCTGACGCTGGCTGCGTCTCCTGAACCGACGCTGGCTGCGTCTCCTAAACCGACGCTGGCTGCGTCTCCTGAACCGACGCTGGCTGCGCCGTCTATGTCGCTGGCTGCGACTCCTCTGCTGGTACGGGAACTGCGCTCCGTACGCTCCTGGCAACTCTCTAGCTAGTCGTCGAGCCGTCCTCCAGCGCAAGTTGCCCTTGCAGTCTCCCTAGGACTGCGAATAAAAGCTGTTGTTTTGTTTCATGTGGAGTTGCCTTAAACGGCTCCCCACACGCGTAGGTCCGAAGAAAGGGGTACTTCAAAGGCCTTGGCTGTGGCTAACGGAACGTTTTATTCTATAAATTCATACATTAGTTTACAATTTATATATTAATTCTTCTTCTTACCGCAGTGTGCCCTCCTACAATCAACAAAACAATGAGCGGCACTTTTCGGCGGCATTCACACTACCGCTATTAGTAGGCCCGTAATTCCGATAACTTCAAATACTACATTTCCTAATAATACTGACTTAACTATCGATAACAATGTTTTGACCGTCGACAGGTACGAAGATCGCTTTGAGAAACATTAAAATTAACGAGTCCCAATAATAAAGGACAATCAATATTATCAACGATTAAATTATTCAAAAAAGTTAACGCTGCCA